GTGTGGGCTCAGAGCCGTCTCACCCACCCTTTTCCATCGCCAAACCCGCGTTCTTTTGCCCTGATTTCTTCTCCTTCCCTGCCCTGAAGGTGGTGTGGCGTTACCTGCTGAACGTCTTCCCCGCCGGGCTGTCGGGACAGGAGCGCCTGGCCCACCTGCGGCGCAAAGCCGACGAATACGCGGCGCTGAAATCCCTGCTGGCCTCGCGGGCGGCCCCAGCAGAGCTGGCCTTGGTGGCGGCCGCCGTGCGCAAGGACGTGGTGCGCACCGACCGCGGCCACCCCTACTTTGGAGGCCCCGAGGAAGGCCACCCCCACCTGGCAGCGCTGCAGGCGCTGCTCACCACCTTCGCTTTGGGCCACCCGCGTCTCTCCTACTGCCAAGGCATGTCGGACGTGGCCGCGCCGCTGCTGGCCGTGCTGGATGACGAGGCCCAGGCCTTCCTCTGCTTCTGCTCCTTAATGCGACGCTTGGGGCCGCGTTTCCGCCCGGGGGGCCGAGGTTTGGCCCGGGCTTTTTCTCACCTGAGGCGGTTGCTGCGTCGCGCCGATCCGCCTTTCTGGGCTTTCTTGGCCGCCCGCGGCGCCCACGATTTGCTCTTCTGTTACCGTTGGCTGCTGCTGGAGCTGAAGCGCGAGTTTGCCTTCGAGGACGCGCTGCGGGTGCTGGAGATCACCTGGAGTTCCCTGCCGCCCGCCCCTCCGCCGCCCCCCGAGGGAATCCCGCTGCTGGGAGCGCCCCTGGGGGCACGCAGGGCACGGCGGGGGCTGCGGGAGAGGAGGGGGATGCGGCCTCGGCCTCCCCGGCGCCGGAGGGAGAAGCAGGGAGGGGGCGTCGCCGGCAGCTCTGAGGACAAACTGAAGGCCGAGGGGTCGGAGCCCATCGCCTGCTGTCCTGAGACATGCAACAATGACGGCCTGCAGGATCCCAAAACGAGCAGGGGAAGCTGTGCTGTGCCAAAGGACGTTTCCGCTCCGGAGATTTGTGGCCAATCCGACGTCTATAGGAAGGCTGATGAGAACAGCGAAGGCGTCTCAGCAGATCTCAGCTGCAGGGGGGGCGTTGGAGGCCCCGAGAGCCTCGAAGACGTCGGCACCAAGAGCGCCTGCGAAGGGCCGAGCGTCCGCAGAGCGGTGCAGAGCCCAAAGGAGGTCGGGGAGAAACCCAACCCGGTCAGTGGTGACTGCAGGGAGACAAGTGGGGAGCTCAGAGGGGCCGGCAGGAGCTCCAGCATCCAAAAGGAAGTTTGTGCAGAGCCCGGAGAGGCCGGCGGGGGTCTCAGCGACACCCAAAAGGCCGGCGAAGGCGCCACGAAGGTTATCAAAGGGGATCAAACTCCCAAGGAGGTCAGCAGGGATCCTAAAAGGAGCGGTGAAGTTGCCCAAGGGGTTGGCGGGGACCCCGGTGCTGCCAAAGAGTTCGGTGAGGATCCCAAAGAGGTCGGCGATGACCCCAGAGAGGTGGGTGAAGACCCCAAAGAGGTCGGCGAAGGCGCCGCCGTCGCTGGGGAGCCCGGTGACGACCCCACAGAGCCACACGGCGAGGCCCTGCAGGACCCGTGGGCAGGAGGCTGGGCTTGGGAAGACTCGTGGTCCTCCTCTTCCTCCTCCTCCTCCTCCTCTTCCTCGGAGGAAGAAGAGCTGGGTGTGGAGGACGACGGGGCGCCGCTGCCGCCGCCAGCAGAGCTGGGCCAAGGGAATCCCTTCCTGCTGTTCGTGTGCCTGGCCATGCTGCTGGAGCAGCGGGAGGCCGTGATGGCGAGGGCCGGGGATTACAACGAGGTCGCCATGCATTTCGACCGCCTGGTCAGGAGGCATCAGCTGCCCCGCGTCCTGCGCAGGGCCAAGGGGCTTTTTGCTCGCTACCTGGAGGGCTGGGGGGGAGCGGCCCCGGGGAGCCCCACACATGGGTAGGGGGGCCCCCCCCCCCGCCTCCCCCCCCCCCCCCCCCGGGGCTGTAGGCTGAGGTGGGGCTGCTGAGTTGATGCGGGAGCCCACAAAGACCCCATGGGGACTCAGAAGGTTCATAGGGCAACCCCAGATGGACCCTATGGGGAACCAGGACCCCACAGAGACCCCATAGGGGCTGATAAGGTTCATAGGGCAACCCCAGTTGGACCCTATGGGGAACCAGGACCCCACAGAGACCCCATAGGGACTGATAAGGTTCATAGGGCAACCCCAGATGGACCCTATGGGGAACCAGGACCCCACAGAGACCCCATAGGGGCTGATAAGGTTCATAGGGCAACCCCAGATGGACCCTATGGGGAACCGGGACCCCACAGAGACGCTTATGGGGACCCTGCCTCCATGGGAGCCCTACAGAGCCCCTGTGGATGCAGAGGCCTCCCAGCTCTCCCCACATCCCACGGAGCGGCCAAGAGCCCAGTGTAGCCCAGTGCCTCCCAGTACAAAGCACTACAGCGTCCCAGCTGGGAGCTGCCCTGAGTTGGACCCGTACGGACCAGTACAGACCAGTACAGACCAGTACAGACCAGTACTGCTTCCCAACTGGGATCACAGCACCGACATCCGCGCGGCCTTCAGCCCCCAGCACGGCTCAGCGCACACCAGTATGGCAGCTCGACTGGAACTCATCCACATGGCCTTGCATCGTCCCAGTACGGACCAGTAAGGACCAGTATGGAGCAGTACAGCGTCGTGCCCGGGATCTTCTCACCTGTGTGGCCTTGATGTGTTCCCAGTAAGGACCAGTACAGAGCGGCTGGGCTTCCCAGCTGGGATCTCATCTATGGGTTCTCCCAGTATGGACCAGTGCACCCCAGTTCCTGTCCCCAGGTGCCTTTTG